TACCTTTGGGTGTGGTGACCGCAGGTGGAGAGTTGGACTCAGTGGTTGTGCCTGCCGCCGTGGTTGTTTGTTGGGCTGATGTAGATGGCGGATCCAGTGGTTGCGGTGTTCCTGGAATGGACCACGCGCTCTGGGTTGATGTGGATGGACCCAATGGTAATTCCATCTCGGTGGCCGCCATTTGAACCAATTCCAATTGGGCCTGCCTCTGCGCTCTGGAGAACTCCTTCTCCAGGGCCTGGTGCCTACGGCTGGCTTGCTTTTCCGCCAACTTGGAGGGCCTCTTGAGCGAGTGTTTTGTCTTCGCTTTGCACTTGCCTGCCGCCTTCTGGTCAGAAGGTGTGTTGCAGCCGTAATTGGGAGGTGGAGGGGTCGTGCTCATGGATTGAGGCAACGAGGGTCCCTCCATTCCGCTTGAGCAGTCCCAGAAAAACTGAGAAGACGCTCAGGCAGGCAAGTATTGGCGGGAGCGAAATTGGAACAAGTACCAGGACTGTTCCCCTGATCACCCGACCACAACAAAAATATTCTCTCTGGGCTAAGGTCACGGTAGCTGAGGGAGGTACCGAAGGCACGTTTGGAACCACTCTTTGGGTTCCGCCCGGAGGCCTTAGGTGACCAGGCAACGTGCACCAGTAGAAAAAGGAAAAGGGAGGCAAAAAATATCAGTGGCGACCTCAAAAGGGTCTGTAGGCCTGACTTAATACACAGCAGGTATCAAATGGCGGTCACCTAGAGCGGAATTTATTCTTATTAATACTATTACTATTATACTAATAATAGGAACAACAATAATAATAAAATAATAATAATAACAACAACAACAATAATGGTGATGATGATAATATTGTGTGTTCTGTCTTTAGGCCTGTTGGCCCTGCAGTCGCTTAATTTTTAGCTTTAAAAAAAAATTTTTTTTAATTATTATTATTATTATTATTTTTAAAATTTATGTATCTATTTTTATTATTATTATATTTTGTCCTATTATTATATGTGTGTATCGGGGGTGGAGCGCTGGTTGTGTGCTCCTATTCCGCCTCTATCAGTGATTCCAGATATGATGTAGAGCTTCCTTAAGCTCGGTTTGCCTTTCTCTGGCAAGAGATGGCAGCCACAGCTCGTTTCTCCCTGAAAAAGGGCTTTGCAGATCCCAGGAGGGTTCTCTAGCCTCCGTTTCTTGGTTGGCTTACTCCCTTCCTGTGCTTCGTTTCCCTCTGAAGATAAGCTCCGCAGCCTCCCAGAAGCTGCTTGTGCCCGGGGATTTAAATTTGGCGCGCTGTGACGTTTTAAGGGAATCCCAGTCAGGGATTGCCTTTGTTGTCTGAAAACAGCAACTAAAATGGCGCCCGCGGGTGCCCTGGGCTGCTAGGGAATCTCCGATGATCCGAATTCAAGTTTGAATCCGGACCTGGAGATTGTTATTTTTTCCCCCAATTTGAGGAAAAAATCCCTTGGAAGGTTGGGGAGAAAAGCTCAGCAAGTGGTCTCTGCTGATGCCTTTGTTCCCCCCCCCTTTTTCACCTCCAGAGCCCTGGGGCTGACTGGGATCCGTGGGGAGTTTCCCCCCCCCACACCCCCTTTTTCAATTTTAATATAGGATCAGGGATGATCCCAAGGAAAACTTAGTGGTTGGGGAAAAGGTTCAGCAAGTAGTCTCTGCTGATGCCTTCTTCCCCCCCTTTTCACCCCCCAGAGCCCTGGGGCTGGCTGATATCTGTGGGGAAATTTCCCTCCCCACCAATCCCCTTTTTAATTTTAGGTTTGAGATCAGGACTGATCCCCAGAAAATTTTGTGGTTAAATTCCTATAGGTGGAAATTTTTTTGGGAAGGGGAAGCCAATTATCAAGGGATAATCAATCAATGGATTTCTTGTCTAACCTGATAAGCTGAGAGCCACGCCAAAACGAGTCTTCTCCGAGAGAGACCAAGTTAAGAATGGGCTCCACAGGAAGTGGGGGCGTGTCAAGCTTTGGCTACTTGGTCTCAAGAGCAGGCAGACAGAGAAAACCCATCCGTGGATTATCCATCTCCTGTACTGGAGAAGCAGCAGATTCTCCACATAGCACCAAAAAAGCAAAAGCAAACTGGTGCTGCCGGCTCAGCTGTTGTTTGGCCATGTGACCAGGGACAAAAAAAAAAAACTTTCGGCTTCAGGAAATTCAATTTAACCTGGCCTAGGCAAGTCACAGAGTTAAAATGGCCACCACTGCAGCAGTAACTGAATCCATGTCACATGGTTACAGAGGCCTCTTTTTGCGTGTAATTTTGAATTTCTAAATGTAAGTACCCTTTCTGAATAACTTCATTTTTGTGAAAACTTGCTAAATGAACGTTTGTACTTGTAGTTACATTTGTATTTCAACTATGTTACAAAATTATAGTATAACTGTATTTTATTTTTTTTAATATAAATCATCCAGAGAATCTTGCCAATGCATGGCAAAAAACCCCTCCAGTTAATAACTAAATAATAAAAACATGATTGCATTACAGTTGGGGAGCTACAATTGAGAGGCAATTGATATAGCTATGAAAACTCTAATCTCTTTCTCAACTGTTCCCATCTGTAACATCAGGTAGCCTCTGCATATAGCCACCCAGACCATCACAAGAAGATTTAATCTCATTAAGGCAATTGATCTTTTCACTGAATCTAATAGAGAGTAGATATTTTATAGCATATTGTTTTTGAATAAAGAAGCTACCTGGTTTTGAATTCATGAGAAACTCTGGATTTCAACCATTTATGCCTAAGACCATAACACTGCACATAAAAACATTCCAACTAAACCAAGAGCTATTTAGTCTTACAATCTTTTTGTTCTGTAGCAAGAAACTTGTTAATAATGGAAACTATAATCTTTCAGATGTGATAAGCTAAGTTTCTTCATAATTAAAACCAGCAAAAATGGTCTTGCTTTTCTTATTGTAATTAATATTTCTTTCTGGTATGATAACCATTTGTATTTGCTGTCTCCAGCTAAATATAAAGATATTCTGGTCTCTTGTTATGATGTCTGAAAGGCTTGGATACCAAATATATCTGAAATGTCTACAACAAATATTTTGGGTATCATTAAAAACAACTGAGCTTCCAAAACAGGTTCCAGTTTGTGACTAGGCATTGCATATTCACTCAACATAAATGACAACTGACTAAGTATGGTGATCAATCCACATTCTGGATCATTGCTTCCACACATGTGCCAGTTGGAAATGAATGCACGTAGCATAACATGAATCTTGGAGCAGCCCGATTTTGGACTAAATACAGCTGATGTTGGCTAAGAAAAGCTGTTTGTTGTGCAACTGGACAAGCTCACAGTCACCACTCAAAATATTGCCCTGGAGCTCAGGTTGTCATTCCGGTTGCCAGATACCACCAAATGATTCCTCTGAGTTCACCAGGAGACGAATACATCTTGATAAATCACCAAAATAGTAACCAATCTGGGACAAATTTCTGATGTGTGTGTGGGGGGGAGGCACGGATTTGCTCCCATCCGTATCATTTATCCAATTCAAGCATTTTATATAAATATGTATTTCAGGATGTTTTTTAAAAAATAGCATTTATTGAAGATTTTTTCTTCAAAGTAAAAATGAAAAAAAAAATCAACAAACCCATAAAGTTGATTTTTTTTTCATTTTCAGCAAAAAGTTTATAAAGGGTTTCCAGTCACTGAGAAATATAGTTACTGTCTTTTTCCCTAATCAAACATGTAAATTTTGCCATCATTGCTAATTCTGTCATCTTTTAAATATGTATTTCAGGATACTGTAGTGTTCTAAAAGAAGGTCCATTTTCTACATCACTAGAGAGAGGGATGGGAAGAGGGAGAGCAATATAGAAGTTAAGATGCTTTACTAGAAATGGAGAAACCTACCTAATCCTCTTTTAGTCACACAAACCAAGTATTCAATTTCAATTCAATTTATTATTACAGCCAAAGGCCAACACATAAATTAAACATTCAAATAAAACAGAACCAACACAAGAAAACATAGCAATATATTACAATTAATGATGTAATCAATGGGTGACCAAGGTTTGCCTAGTTTTACAGACAGTATAACAAAAACTAGCTACCTTCAGAAAAACTGACCTCACAATAAAAATACATTGAGTATAGTCCTGACAGTTAGAACGATTAACCAGTGGAACAACTTGCCTCAAAGAAGTGATGAATGCTCCAACACTGGAAGTTTTTAAGAAGAGATTAGACAGCTATTTGTCTAAAATGGTATAGGGTTTCCTGCCTGAGCAGGGGGTTGGACTAGATGACCTCCAAGGTCCCTTCCAACTTTATTATTATTATTATTATGGATCATCGCACAGTCAGCCAGATGTTCAGACTGAATTTGGCATTTTATCTACCTATCGAGTCCTTACCCAGGACCTGAGATAGGCAGATGTGAATGTTTGATGATATTACAGATATCGCCGCAGGATGGAAGCAGTTCCTAGTAAGGCCGCCTTTTGCAATTGACTAATAGCGAATTTGTCAATGCCAATGGTGTTCAAGTGGTGCTCCAGTTGTTTTAGGATTGCATTATTATTATTATTATTATTATTATTACTATTACTATTACTATTATTACTATTATTATAATAAAATGCCATTCTAACCTTCCTTGTTACAACAAGTAGGTCAATACTAGTCTTTTTATCTTGTTTTTTTTCTAGTAAGAAAGTTCTGTACTTTATTTTGCATTTCTTCTTTCATTTCCATATATGTCCTTTCAATAAAGATGATTCTCATGATTCTCTTTTCATACTTTGCCTAAATAGTTCTTGTCATTCTGCATAATCCCTAGGTATTATATACAATGCCTAGGGAAAGTATACTTTCATACTTTGTCTAAATGTCATAATTCTATAGATTTCCTAGGCATTCTACACAATGTAAGCTTTTCACACATTGCCAGTAATCTATATAAAAATGCAGCAGAGAATTATGCACCATGGCAGCATGATGACACTCTGTGATCTTACCATCCCGTCTGATGAGTTTCGCAAAGCTGGGACTATGGTTATTGGAGAGTTTGGACGAACTGTCAAAAGCTGATGCAGGTAATGACAGTACCAGTGGCTCTTCACAATTATCTACAAAACAAGAAAAAATATAGAAAGCATGAAATATAATGGAAAAAATCTTTTGGTTTATCAGGATTGTTTTAGAGAGGGGGGGTATCGATGTACCTACTTCTTTCTAATTAATGAATTATCTTAAAAGAAACAAGCTTGATAATAAAATTCTCTGCAAAAATATGCATGACGTATATAATATTTTCCTCAACAGTTTTCAATAGATGTGGTGTGAAATATCCCATTTTATCTCAAAAAGAATATAGAGTGCAGTACTGCAGGCCACTTTAGCTGACTGTGTTCAGAAGGTCAGTGGTTCAAATCTCACCGGCTCAAGGTTCACTCAGCCTTCCATCCTTCCGAGGTAGGTAAAATGAGGACCCAGATTGTTGGGGGCAATGTAAATATATATACATTGCTTACTGGTGTACACCGCTTAGAGAGTGCTTGCACTTAAAGCGGTATATAAGTCTCATAAATAAATAAATAAATAAAATAAATAATGTTTCAAAGGAGGACTCAAATTTATGAAGCCAGAAAAGTGGGCAGAAGGTCTTTTGGATAGGTGAGTACTACAAAGTAGAAGATCACCATGCCTTCCGTGGGGGGGGGTTTCTTTGGGAGAAAAGGCTGTGGAAGTAACTTGCACAAGTGGCTTATAATCTTCCCAGTTGACTTTCCTTGTGGGAAGAGACAGGAAAGTTTCCAAATGGTGAACATACGGCCACGGGACATTGCAACCATTGTTATTGTGATCCAGTTGTCAAGAATCCAAATTATGACCATTTGACCCAAGAGACACTGCAATAGCCACAACTTTGAGTACTAATCATAAGCTCCTCTAGTTCAGTGCCACTTAGGTTTTAATGGTCTCTGAACAAATGGTCATAACCTGGCCACCTTTTTTTGTGCTATTTAGTGGCCATCAGTTCAAACAATTGACTGGTTAGCTCACAGGTTGGCAACCCGTGGCTCTGGAGCTGCACGTGGCTCTTTGAGCCTTCTCATGCGGCTCCCAGCCTCCTCCGGCATTTGCAGAGAGAGAGATAGACAGACAGAGAGAGGCACTTGCGCTTCCCTTCTCTCTCTCTCTCTCTCTCTCTCTCTCTCTCTCTCTCTCTCTCTGTGTGTGTGTTTGTGTGTGTGTGTGTGTGTGTGTGTGTGAAAAAGAGAGTGGCCTCATGCTGTTCTTGGACAACCTGACAAGCTTATTGGGTGGGGCTCCTGCCTTTGCTGTGTCTCACCAGGAAGCAGCATAACTCTCTCTTTCTCTCTCTCTCTCAGGAGACAAAGGGAGGGAGGGAGGGGGAGAGAGAGAGAGAGAACTCATGCACAGCAGCCTCTATTTCTTTTTAATTAAACTTCCATCAAGCTTTCCCCCCCTCACGTGCACATGCATGCACAAGTTTTGCAGCTCCCAGTGTTTTCTTTTCTCTGGGAAATGGGTCCAAGTGGCTCTTTGAGTGTTTAAGGTTGCTGACCCCTGGGTTAGCCCATAATTTCAAGGACCAAAAGAAGTTCAGATATGGTACAAAGAGAAAGGAAAAATTGCAGAGCAATCTGATGCCAACTAGAAGAGACTTTCTACATACAATACAATACTGAGCATGATTGGAATTTCAGCTGTAGGAACCACTAATCATAGTCTTTAGAATGTAGTCCATTAAAGCTGTATGGATAGCAGTGTAGAAGAGACCCATTTCAGGGGCACTGTAATTACACGATTGTGAGGCAGCAACATTCAAGTGGCATTTTATTCTATTTTTCTATTCTTAAAATGCACAGGGCTTTGCACCTTGTTAATATTCTTCTGGATAGCTGATGGTGTATTAAATCTCCAAATAGAAAACAAATTGTTAGAAAAAGAAATTAAACAGCAGTCAGTACACAATGTGCTAGAGGCTCAGATATATTCATTGTCTTGCAATCAGTAATGGACAATACCTTGCCTCTCACTTTCCATCCCCTGACTCTGTACAGAAGAATAATATGATTGATGGTATTGAAAGCAGTAACACCCTAATTAACATTAGCCCACCACTATCTCCAGTGTCCCACATTAACTATAACAGATGAAATAACCCCCAGCCAGAAAAAAAATGTTAAGTCCAAGTCCACTGGAGTCACATCACTGAATAAGTCCAGAAAGATAAATGAAACTGAAAAAAAAATGTCTTCTACTTAACATAGCTGGTCTAATGACAGCTATAGCAAGCAAACTGCCCTTTCAAAAGTCCACTGGCCCACTCCCACTGACATTCCCTGCTGCTGCCTGAATGACCATGTTCTCCAGCCACCTGTACAGTTGTTTTCCAGCCAATTCCATATTGGGAAACCAGTATCACAAAGCATCTGTGCACATGGTCTTTATTTGCTCACTGCACCAAACCAAAAATGTGTGTACTCTTGATTTTTGCCTATTAAGGTACATGAACATAAACACTCTTTTTGGCATCATTATTTATATTTTCAGTACAGTATTGTAAAAACTCAGGCAGTGATGTGTTAATTGAACAAAAATGTTAATTTAGCATAGTCTGTGGAATGGATCAATATTAAGTAATAGGCTCTTGGACTATCCACAAGCACAAAACTAAGATTATACTTCTGATGAAGGATATAGACAGTTGTCTCACTATCTGTACAGAATGATATGTCTGGTAGTATACACAGGCAACACAACACAATAATAACCCCTTTTATTGAGTTCATATGCAAGATTTTGAATTATGACAAAAATGAGTTATGATAGTCAGCCTTTGTTTGCCAACTATTATAAAGCTTAAAGCCACTGTTCTTAATTGTGCATTAGGCTATATTCACTTTTTCCCCCTTTACCAGAACAAAGGACCCTGCTGACAAATTCAGTTGCCCACACCTCTGGCAAATACTGTACTCTCGCTAGCATTTGTTTCAAAGAACTGAACAAATTTGGGATTTCTGCAGGAAAAAATACGTCAGTACCGCATCAGCAGAAGTCTGTTCCCCCAATGTCTTTGTCTCTGGGTTAAAATAATAGATTACTTGGATAAAACATAAAAGTGACAATGTCCGAATTCTCCCTGAAATTGACAGATGTCTTTCTATGCAACTCAAGGTAGGCAGATGGAGGCAGATGGGACTTTCAGGCATGGACCATCTCCCGCCTCAGCCCATTTGCCACCAATGTTCCTCCTTGGCTGGCCCTTCCCCACTCATTCTCTCAGGCCAATGGGGCCAGGGCCTCCGCCCCAGGCCCTTCTGCCTTGGCCCTTTCACTGAGACACCCTTTGTCCTTGGCATTTGGCTACACAGGACAAATAGCCCCCAGCAATTGGGTGGCATGCAGGAAGCCATGGTGCTGCAAGGGCAGCCTGCAATGGGCGATGTTTTTTTTTTAAAAAAAAGTGCAGCTGCTCCACAAGTTTTGGGGCCTGGCAGCTCTGTCACCAGGACCGGAGGGAGGGAGGGAATAGCAGCTGCCAGGGCCACTGGGGGGGTGTGTTGGGGCAAGAACCAGGAAGAGAGAAAGGGGTACCTCAAGGGGGCTTTACAAACAAAGGGGGAGAGAAGGAGCAAGGCCAGCACGGATTCTGGCATTGCAGGGGTGGCAATGGCAGAGCCTGCATGGCTCCTGCTGAGGGTAGCAGGCGAATGACAGGGCCTGTGGGGCTCTTGAGGGGGGAGTACAGGCAAATGGCAGGGCATACGTGGCTCCTGTTGGGGAGGAAATCTGGCAAACGGCAGGGCCTGTGCAACTCCTGTAGGGGTAGGGGTGGAGGGCTGAGCCAAGAGCCACACAGAGGCCTATCAGGCCAGAATCCAGGCACAAGGCAATGGCAGGTAGGAGGGGTCAAAATGGGAAGCTCCTGCCCACTGCTGCTTGCCTATTGGCCGCTCTGCCCAGAGTCTCTGACAGCTTAAAAAAAACCCTGCAGAGCAGGCCCTGCCATTTGCCTGATTTCCCCACACACACAGGAGCTGTGCAGGCCCTGCTGGTCATCTGATTTCCCCAACATTGGAGCCACGCAGGCCTTGCCATTCGCCTGATTTTCCCACCTGCAAGAATTGTGCAGGTCCAGCCATTTACCTGCTCCCCCCGCAGGAGTCACAGAGGCTCTGCTCTTCACCTGATTCCCCCCGCCCACAGGAGCCACACAATGCCAGAATTTGTGCTGGCCTTGCTCCTCTTCCCATCCTTTGTGTGAGTTGCCAGATAAGCTGTATTCGTGAACCCCCTTGTGCCCTCCCTCCCTTCCTGGTTCCCCCTCAACACACCCTCATCTGTTTGCCCCCCGTGGTCCTGGTGGCTGCCAGTCCTGCCACCATTCCCTCTCCCTCCGGTCCTAGTGACAACTATCAGGCCCCAAAACTTGTGGAGTAGCCATAGCACTTTTTAAAAAAATCATCACCCATTGCAGGCTGCCCTTGCAGCAACATCCGATAGCTATTGCGCCACTGCTTGACTTCTTCAGAGGCTGCTTGCTGCCACTTGCAGCTGGATGCATGTGGCGCATTGCGCCATTGCCGCATAAAGTTTAGGGGGTGAAGCTGCCCCATGTTTCCCGCATCCGCTTACCGGTAAACTGTGTGACTCGTCACACCAGTGCCATCAAAGCAGGATGCTGCATGGTGCTTTGTGCTGTTTCTGCCACAGAAGCGGCCTGAAGCGCCATGCGGCGTCCTGCCGTGAGTGACAGCAATGGCCCAAACAGCAACTTGGCTGAGTGGCGGAAACAATCCGAAGCACCCTGCAGCGTCCTGCCACGAACAATGGCAATGGTGTGAAGTGCCACATGATGTCTTGCTATGAGCAACAGCAGTGACCCAAAGCGCTGTGTAATCTGCCACAAGTGGCAGCACTGTCGTGACAAACCACATAGCTTGACAAGTGTTGGGGCATGGGAGGCCTGGCTGCGGCAGTCCTACTGGTAAGGTAAGTGGATGCTGGGCATGTGGGGCAGATTCACCCCCTACCCCCGCCCTCGCCCCCAAACTATGGCTTACTTTCAGGGGGGCTTATTTTAGGCCCACCACTG